GAGGAGGAGGACTTGTCGTCGGCGACTCCTCCGACGGTAGCGGTAGGGGCGGAGTTGGTCGTCGACATGTCCTTGTCAGCGGCGGCGGCGGAGTCGCGTTCCCTGTTGCTCTTGGCGTGGCGGATGTTCAGCCTCCTGCGAAGCTCAGGGTCGGTAGGCATGCTCGTCGCCGTAAGGTTGGCCTCATTCTGTTGTTGGTTGTTTCGATGTGCGTGCAACGTTGGAAGGCGTAGAATGAGAACGAGGGAGTCAGCGACTTCGTCATGCGAACAGCCGTACAGGGGCAACTTTCCTGTAACATGTTCTTGTTGAGGGAGCGTGCGCGCCAGGAGGTGGTGGCTAGAGGCAGGTGAGAATTTGCATTTTGAATAATTCGCTGTATCCTCCTAGAGAGATTTCGGGAAAACAAGTTACGGAGGAGTGCCGCTACTTGGAAGGAGCGACGTGTTCCGAAGACGGGCCCGAGCATTTTGCAAGCGCTACCACGGTCAATGAAAAATCAACAATAGAAACGACCCTCCCTCGTGAACTACTGCATACTTGCGACACCGCCAGAGTTGACCATGACCTACCCACCGTAAGGAGCTCGAGCCTGAGAAAGAGGTTACCCCGGAAACTCAACCAACATGTTGTGTGTGTCTCCCTCATAATACGAAGATAACAATGCGTGTAGTACCTGGTCTGCGGCCGCAGGGTCGGCCACCACGACAGACGTGGCCGTGTACATAATGGTGTTTCGCGATTCTAGGGACCCTTGGCCCTCGAAGGCCACAACCCCGTGCTTGTCCATCTGCGCATGTGCGACAACCAAATAGCAGCCGCAGAATCAGCAGCAGCAGAGGTCAGAGATATCGTTGTTGCTGCTGCTGCTGATGATGATGATGATGATGATGAAGACGACGGAAAGGTACGAATCGTATGCATACCCTTTCTTCTCTCAAGTAAGGCAAAGATGATGCAAAAACGGTCATGCGCAGAGGTCACCTAAAAAGCTAACCACGCTATACGAAGTGTACCATCGAGTTGTTTCCAGGCGACGCGAGTGTCTCGATGACAACATGCCGCGCGTACACGCGCAGAGAACCAAAGACACACATATTCCCGGGACCAAATACACCGGGGCGAGTGGGACTACGTCTTGCCTCAGCATTGTCTTGGTTGGGCCGACTCAGTCTTTTCGGCAAGTGTTGGGACAGCATCGTCGGAGGAGGGGGGTACTCAAGGCAAAATACCCAACACATGGGCGGCGAAATCTTTGGCAGGTTGTTCAATCATCGCTCTTTGTGCTCACCAGCGTGCCATCGAGGTGCTCGGGGAGCCGCCTGGTCACTTCGAATTGGATGCTTCCGAAGACCCGAAGGATGGGTTGGTTGTTCATCTTGAGTCGAACGGTGTTTGAAATGGGGCAACAGCGGCGCGCGCGCGGGCAACGGGGGGGGGGGGTTGCCTTCATTGAAATTTACAGCTGAAAAGATCACCACGATGAAACGTAGGCTGTAGACTACCTTAATCTACACCAGAAATGTTTGACAACAAAGTACACGATGGGATGGGTTTTCAGTAATATTGTAGAAGAAGTAGTTTCGACCTGTTAATATTGATGTGCACTTGCCTCACTCCTCTTCATCATAACCGTCGGCGCGCGGATCGTCAGCTTGGCCCCGTGGTGGACCTTGAGGGCAACGCCCATGGTGTTCATCGGGGCATGGGAGCGAACCACCGTGTCACCGGTAACGACGATCGTCTGCGTACGTACGTCGAACACAAAAAAATGACGGGTCCGAGTGAGACAATATTGTTGGGACGTACAGAAGGAAGAGCGAGACCGTGTTGGCGAAAATGCAAGGAGTAATACCCATGGCAAAGAACATGATATACCGCGTTTCCCCCTCAGACTACATGTCATGTAGTACATTTTTTTGTTTTTTGTTTTTCATCCTATTTATTTTGGCGACAGTCCCCCTACTGCCGTATATTTCGTGGTGAGACGTGTAATAATGCGCTTTTTTCAGTGTTGTAAGAGTACAACACTTTTTTCTTTTTCTTTTTTCGTACAACTACGACCAACCATCCAGGATCACAGGGGTAAACACCGGGTTTTTTTCTTCTTTTTATTTTTGTTTTCGTGCCCCACCTTCCTCCTGCGGTGCGTGCTGAGTTTTTATTTTTGGCGGTAGTACAGTAGTCTATCTTCGCTCTACAGCATGTATTCGATATAGATTTTGATCTTCCTTCATCAGCGTTGATCATTCTGCCCATCTCGACCCCTAACTTTCGCGAGGCACCGGAGAGGATCATCCTGCATTTCTTGCAAGCGAATAGGTATATATCCCATCCAAGCAGCTACAGCTGACAATACATTCGCGCGCGTTGAAGAAAACAAGATGATGACATGCAAATATATATCCAACGGCCACAAGAATGGGAAGTGCATACGGATGGATGATCATGGCGATGGAAAAACCTTGGGGCGCATGCAAGGTGGACATATGTACTCACCTCTCATTCAACTGGAAGATGGGGATGGATCCATGACGGCAACATATGATAGGCTAGGATAGCATCGTGGATGTCAACCACGCGGTATGATGGGAGTCGGCGGATGATGCAGAAGCGGGGTGCTCCTTGTACGCACCACATACATACGTGTGGTCTCATTTTTTCATTGTTCGAAAAGATGTCGAAGTCAACACGGCGATGAGTTTCGGAAAAAGAAGATAATAGACTACATGCAGGTCCGGCCTGCACTCAGGCAGCAAACACCAAGAAGGAGGATCTTGGTGGCGGGCGCTTCGCTTCGCACCAGAGCCAGTGCCGGTGCCAATCTAGCAACTGGACCCCGGGATCATACAGATAGGGCAACGACGCTCGCTTGTCAACGACGACCTGCCCACACACACCACTCTCTTTTTTTCTGTCTCCAAAATGCTCCCAAGTCTTGAGACCACTGCTGCTCTACAGCAGTAGCTGTCGTTGAGATTACCCTCGCCGAAGTTCCAAAGAACATGTCATCGAGGAGGATCAAAGAAGATCTCGTCTCTCACCTTCGGGTTGGCGCCACAGTCGATTGACGAGAGGATGGTGAGCGTTGTCCCGGCCAAGGTGGCCTCGGCGGGGATGTCGTCGCACGACCGGATCCACGTAGGTCCGTCGCCGAAGGGTCTAGCTTGGGTGCCCGGCATCGCGCAGGCGAGGAAGGCAAGAATGCCGTACAGCAGCACCTTGGGAAGATGCATACTTACCGCAGTGTGGTAGGTTCTGGTGCAGGAGAATGTGTGGCCACTGTTTGGCTAGGGTCAGTCTCAAGAGCACAGCAGGTGTGCTCTGTAGGTGTGAGATGGATAGTGTTGTGATCTCATCCGGGGGGCAGAGGGCCGACCGCACGACAGGGGTCGCCACCAGGGAAGAGCTAGAATTACGCGTCCCATCACGTCAGCTTTGATGTACATGCTCACCTGGTGAACAGGATCGGAGAGATTTTTGCCGTTCGTTCTTCCGTTCGTTCGATTGCTGCTGCTGCGGACCGATGCGGACCGCAACAAATAGTATATTCCGCCCAGAAACAATCCACATACACGTTGCAGCAGTTCTTCACCGACAATTATGATGCTGTTGGTGTTAGCAGCGCTTCTGGTGGAGGAGTGGCGACGTGCCTGGGTGAGTGCTATTCGGTTGCTGCACGCAATCTTTGTACATGGGTGACATCGGGGACCGCATGATCGTCTATCTGTAGATTTGTCCCTTTGTTCTCCACGCGCATCACTTTCCAGAAAAATAAAGCGTGTACAGAGGAATCACCGTTACCTGCAGCAAAATATCATCAAAGACAAGGAACACCCAATAGCCCAACGGGTACACACACGCACAACGAACCCGCCTTACCGGTCTGCTGCCCAGGATCCTCGGTATGTTTCTTGCTGATCGAAAGCCGCCCCGGAACAGACAATACCCCGTCCTGCAGTTTCTACATGGAGCCTGGTCTATGGCATAGGATTCTCGACTTCTCTACGCTTCCTTTCGTTCCATGCGAAAGGATAATAACATTGACTGCGACGTTTATTCGCGAGAGGCGCGCGGGGGAACCGACGGTTTCTGATTTTGAGGGGGGGGGGGGGCACCCACTAAAAAAGCGATTTGTGCGTAAGGGGTGTATTTTATTTGTGGATCAAAATGGAGAATACATGCACGTGGGCAGTATGAATACAGCTAGCTATTTATTGGCGTGGTTCAGTGCCAATGGATATCCAAGAGGGCAGCTACACAGGTGGACGTCCACCCCCCTTACCCAAAATGTCGGATGCCCTCGCCCCCTTGTGGAGACCGTGACAAGGTCGAACATCTTGGAGAAGACAACCAAGGCCTAAAAAATACCTCGATTTCTCTCCTTTCGAGGCCTTGGTTGTCTTCTCCCAAGGTATTCGACCTTGTCAAGGTCTCCACAAGGGGGCGAAGGCATCCGACATTTTGGGGAAGGGGGGTCAACGTCCACCTGTGTACTGTACACGTACATGGACGAGGGGACCGAATTGGGGAGAGTAGTCCCTGGATTTCTTTTCTTCGAAGACATATATTTTATCGAGAAGCGC